TCATGGGGTGCAGCCGTATCTACTCCTTGTAACTCTGTAGGTGGAGAGGTCAGGCTTTTGGCCAAAAGTTTTTAGAGATGACTCACAAAATTGACCTTAAATGCAAACAAAAATTTCCATTCCATATACCTTTATCTTTTTCTTTTTCTTTTTTTTTACTTAATACCAGTACCTCTTTACTGTTACCAATTTTTTTGATTCACCCTTTTTTTTTCCCTCGAGACAGAGTTTCTCTGTATTGTTTGGAGGCTGTCCTGGAACTTGCTCTGTAGACCTTGCTCTGGCCTTGAACTCAAGAGATCTGCCTGTTTGTGTCTCCAGTATGTTGGGATTAAAGGCGTGCTGGGATGGATTAAAGGCGTGCTGGGATGGATTAAAGGCGTGCTGGGACTGATTAAAGGCGGGCTGGGACTGATTAAAGGCGGGCTGGGACTGATTAAAGGCGGGCTGGGACTGATTAAAGGCGGGCTGGGACTGATTAAAGGCGGGCTGGGACTGATTAAAGGCGGGCTGGGACTGATTAAAGGCGGGCTGGGATTGATTAAAGGCGGGCTGGGATTGATTAAAGGCGGGCTGGGATTAAAGGCCACGGAACACCTGCCTGTTCACCAATTTTCAATCCATCCTCCAACCCAGGACGTTCCCTCAGGCAAAAAGCCTGAAGATTTACACAATCCACCCTCCAACTGAGGGCGATCTCTCAGGGTCCCCTTACTTTCCTGACCTTTGTCAGGCGAAGGCCTGGAGATTTAATCCGGTACCTCTAGCTTGGTACCCCTTTTTAACACATCCGCATAGCCTTACTGGCCAGCCTTTTAGATCTCTCAGTTCCCTTTTACTTTCCTGACCTCAGTGGATCAGGCGAAAGACTGGAGATTTTTTTATTTTATTTATTTTACCTTTTTTTTTTTTTTGAGACTGGGTTTCTCTCTATCCTTTTGGAGGCTGGCCTGGAACTCGCTCTATAGACCAGGATGGCCTCATTCCTTCCTACCTCTGCCTCCTGAGTGTTGGGATTAAAGGCTTGTGCCACCAACACCCGGCTCTCTGAAAATCATTGTGAACATCCTCCCAATCTGGGACATTTAAGCCTCCCCCAGTAATAAACCATGGACTCGCATGCTCAATCCATTTTAGAAAGCCTTTCATGGTTGTAGTCCCCTGTTCAAGTAACTTTTTTACGTGATACTGTAATTTAAACTTCCAGGGACTATTTCCCATCGTTTCTTTTCCTATTTTCCCCCATCCGTCCCTGGCTGGCAAAAGGGACGACCCTGTCCACTTACCTCGCTTTCACATCTCGGTGGGACCTCCAATTGCTGAGTTTGATGCGCAGCCTGTGTCCGAGAATGTGGCAAGGGTGTCGGGATTGATGACACAGAGACCAGAAGGCTCCTCAAGAAGGTTCTCCTCTACTTCTATTCTGGCTGGTTATTATATACCCTGACACCAGAGGTGGATGTGGGTGGGTCTGAGGATTCGGTTAGTCTTTGGAAAAGGTCGAGGACAGGACGGTTCCTGTGGGCAAGCCCTTTTCAGGAACGTATTCCCCAGGCATTGTATTGTTTTTAGTAAACATGTTTTTAGTAAACATTGTCTCACAGCTGCCTACTCCCAGGCTGATGGGGAAGTGGGTCTCTGCTCAAGGTCTGGTGTCCCCACAGTTAGGTGGTCTCCACCATAAACAAAGTTTCCCAGAAAATGTTAGGGAGAGAAGTGAGGCCCTACCACGGTCAAATACATTCAGGCCTTAAGCCTGGCTCATTGCTTTTTGAACATTATTCATATATAATCATATATAATATATAATACAGATAAGGGATTTTATCTCTAAGCAACCTTCACAGTAAATGTGCTGGAATCCTTGCTTCAAGCGGGGAGAGGCTTCAGCCAGACTTCTGGGGGTGAGGGTTCCTTTCTGGGGGTGAGGGTTCCTTTCTGGGGGTGAGGGTTCCTTCCCATCCCATGTTTCACACATCACTTACTTGCCTTTCTCTTCTGCCTATACTCAAACTCTGACCCTGGCTCTAATGCAGTGTTGTTAACAAAAGCGTGCGGCTTTCATAGGCTGTACTTTGCTTATTTTTCTCCAGTGCTGGGAATTGTACATATTAGATAAGTTCTCTACCACTAAATATATCCCTAGCACTTGGTTTTCTGAGATACTCTAATGAGATAGCCTAGGCTAGCCCTTCCTCCACTTCTGAATCGGAATATCGTGGAATCCAGTGGGCTGTCCAGGTTTAGTCCTCCCATCATGTGTCTTGGCTCTCAGGACTGAACATGCTGTCATCTTAAAGCAGAACAGTTGTGGTCACTCACTCACAAGAACCCCTCAGATGGACCTATTAACACTTCTTCATGGAGAGAGAGGGGCCTTCATGACCCTCTTCCCTGAAGTTAGACCAGAGCTAACAAACCCTCAGGCTCTTCCACAGCGTAGCTGGCTGTAAATTGCACAAGTGTCTGGTTTACAGGTGTGCACCACCATTCTCAGCAGTTGGATGATTTTTAAAAAACAAATTGCATTAAATATTATCTTCCTTGACTGCAGAGTGTTTTGGGATCCCCATAAATTTTGTACTAAAGACCACTGCCTCTTTTCTGGCTTTTCCAGATCTCTTTGGCTTTAGGACTCTGTCCTACTCCATCTAGAGAGATCCCCAATAAAGTTTGAGCTTTGCCAGACCTTCAATAACTCTGGGTAGTAGGTCACATCCTTCTCCAGAATGGAGTATTCTGTGCAGAACCATCTTGGAGAACCATTAGTTTCTTGGGTTATTTACCAGAGTGTGAGCCAGTCAAATGCAGTTGCACCCCGGAAAGTCCTACTTGCCACCTGCATCTCGGATGACTCCAGAGAAACTGCAGCACTAAGGAGTTCCTTAGACGATTTCCTGGCAGCTACACTATAGAGAAGCCTGAGGGCAGGGAGCTCCCCTAGTCGGTTAGCTCTGGTCTAACTTCAGGGAAGAGGGTCATGAAGGCCCCTCTTTCTCCATGAGGAGAAAACAGAGCCAAAAGGCTAAAACTGAAACCAGAGCCAATGCTGCTCCTGACCAACTAAGCCAACAAACTTAGGAGCAGAACCTTTCCTGAGACGTTCCCTGGGGGGAGGAGGCTGAGCAGAAAAATCAGAAGAAACAGTTACATCTGCTGGGAACTCCCTTAGGAGGGAGCAGAAAAAGTAACTTTTCACTGGAGCAGGAGGAGATTGCTACTTTTCTGCAGGGGCTTCCCCTTTAGCAGACTGAAGCAAAAGAAGTAACATCTTCAGATGGAGCTGAGCAGAGCAGAAGCAGCAGATGGCTATGCTAGGACATTCCCTTAGAGGAACCAAGCAGAGCTCAGGACTGTTACCTCCTGGGGGAAGACCATCCCCCACTGCACCCCAGCATCAGGTATAGCCTGACTTCCTGACACGTCAGGATACCTTTCCCTTCAGAGCTGTCTTTTTCTTGGGTGCCATGAGATTGTAATGTTAAGACCAAACACACAATTCCAGGATGCTGATGCCAGCAGGAGGTATATTGTGAGTGATAATGAGACTGTTCCCTGACTCAAGGATGGAGCAGGAATGTGGTCTTAAGATAGCATCTGCCTATGTCATGTGAGTGTCAGCATTGTTCTGAGTGCAAATTTTATATTACGTCCTCTACCTTAAGGTTGTGTAATAAACATTCTGAAAAATAAACTTGGGGCTACAGTATTCACAGGCAGTCCTCCAAAATCTATCTGCTGTTTGTCTCTGTCTTTTTTTAAATCCCCACTCCCTGCTCAGGAACTATTTCTGACTGTGCTGGCATCTCTTTGCAGGTCCAGAGCTGTCAAGCTCCAGGTATCACCTAACTTTCCAATGAGTCAGGCCTCACTTCCCAACAAGTCAGGATATCTTTCCCTCCAGAGCTGTAACACTGGCTTGCAAGCCTCAGGAGGAAGAAGTGGCCGAATAGGGGAACAGACCTTGGTATCCAACTTTAAGAATGTAATCTAACAGTTTTTAGCAAGGCAGAGGGAATGCAGGAAGGGTAAGGCCTGCCAGAGCCATGCTTGCTATACTCAGGCCAGCTAGAGCCCCTGCAATAGCACTCCTCCATAGTCCCTGCTTCAAGTTCCTGCCCTGACTTCCTTTGATGATGGACCTGAGAACTGTCAGCTGGAATAGACACTTAACTTCCCAAATTGTTTTTGACCATGGTGTTTTGCCACAGAATGGAAATCATAACTAAGGTAGAAATTGGTACTGGGCCATGGGATATTGCTGTGACAGATGTGACTTAGGGTACTACGCTGTGATAGAACACCATGACCAAAGCAACTTGGGAAAAACCGGTTTATTTGGTTTATGTGTCCACATCACTGGAGAAAGCACAGAGCTCAAGTAGACCAGGAACCTAGAGGCAGGAGCTGATGCAGAAGACGTAACGGGGTGCTGCTTCCTGACTGGCTCCTCGTGATTTGCTCAGACTGCTTTCTTATAGAAGCAAGAAACACCAGCCCAGAGGTGCTGCTATCCACAATGGACTGGGTCCTCTTATATCAATCATTAATTAAGAGAATGCCCTACAGGCTTGCCTACAGCCTGATCTCATGGGGGCATTTTCTCATTTGGGGTTCCCTCCTCTTGGAGGGAGGGAGCAGAGAGCTCTGAATTTCATGAATTATCACCCATGCTGGGGTGAACTTTTGGTGATCCTGTACATAACCCTTTACTCATATTCCTGTAGCTCCAAATAAATTCATTGTTTCAAATCTGATGTTGTTGATATATTTACTTAGGTCTGTTGTTCGTTTCCTATCTAGGACAAATAGACACTGCATGTCTCCCCAGGAAGAATGTCACACAACACTATTATATTGGCCCTTCCTTCACTTCCAACCTTGTTCATTGTTACCCCAAAGTAACAAGGGTGGAGAGAAGGTGCTGAACAAGACTATCTTTATATAATGCTGTCTAGACTCATACTTCTGGCAAACAGAAAGCTTTGGGGGCTGAGATGTTTATTTCACCTATTATTTTATTCTCAGAACTTATCACAGTATGCTTATAAATGAATGAGTAATCCATTACTAATCATTAAGGTCACCTTTTAATACAGTGGCAATTTTTGGTATATAATGTCTTTAAACAGTTCCAAACCACCAGACTATTTGAGTTTGTAGATTTATTTTTTTACTTTAGAGATTGAAACTAGGATATGCAAGGTAAGCACTGTGAATGAGCTATTGTCTCACCCTTTTCCCCTTCTACTGCCCCCCTTTTTAGATAGGGTTCTCGTGGAATAGAATATTTGTTTAACTATGTAAAGACATGTGGCAGAATAATTGTTTAACCATGTAAAGGTGTGTTGTGTTTGTTTATGCTGTATTTGTTTAATGATGTAAAGATGTGTTGCTGTTTTACCTTACTTGCCTAAGGTACCTGGTTAATTTAATAAAAAATTGAATGGCCAATAGCTAGGCAGAGGAGGAATAAGTGGGGCTGGTTGGCAGAGAGAAAAGGGGAGTCAGCCAGTCAGGGGCTAGACAGCCAGCCTGCCAGGGAAGAAGCAGGAAAGCACGATGAACAGTATGTAGAGGAGGTAAATGAGCCTCACTCAGGGCAGCACATAGATGAATAGAAATGGGTTAATTTAAGTTAAAGAAAAAAAAGTTAGTTAGAAATAAGTCTAAGCTAAGGTTCAGCATTCATAATTAACAGTAAGTCTCAGTGATTTGGGGTCTAGTGGTCCAAGAAAGACGGCTACATTGGACATGACCAGAAAAGGAGCCTGGGGCTCTCTGATGACAGGGTTTCTGAGCTGTGCATATTGGGATTCAGGAGGAGGAGGACAGGTCAGCCGCTGAGCAGTGTTCAGGGAGGGGAAGGAAGTAGTAGGATGCAGATACAAATGGGTAAAGGGGACATTTTGGCTTTAGTCTGTGAAGGGTCCTTCTCATTCATGGTAGTGTTTGAGTATTATTCCCTGTGGCTTCTGTAGGGCTGATCAGTAAGAAAAAGTCCTAATGTTGAGCCAGAAATATAATAAGAATGATGGGACAGCCACTACCAAAGAAATCATTGCTCTATTAGGATCTTATGCTGGGCTGGCAGTTAAGAATGCCTACCATTCTTGCAAGGGACTTGAGTTTGGTTCCCAGCATCAGCATATTAATGCTTATAACTCCAGTTCCAAGGAATCCAGTCCCCTCTGGCCACGAGACACCTGCATGCATGTGGTACACACAAACTTACCTCAGCATAGACATATAAAAATTAACTCTAAAAAGAAAAAAGGTCAAACATTGATGGATTAATCTTCTTTATACAAACAGAAAAACCAGAAATCTAAATTTGAATGTGCAGTTTGATTGAAGTTTTGTATCAATTGTAACATAAACAGACACAGTCAGACAACTGGCATTTCTGGCCTACAAGCTGGTCACATACTTGGATAATATCTCTCCTGCTTCTGAAATCTGCTTCTATGTTTGGTCAGGGAAGTTTTTTTTTTTTTCTTTTCTGCAGTAAAGAGAGTAGGTTCGGGGATTACCTGCTGTAATGTGAGAAGGTAGCTTTTAGCTCCCCTAAGAAATTTTGCTTCCATGCTCTCACCTGTGCCATATGCTTCACACACGCAGAGGTATGGGTAGAACATTTACATTCTCTCATTGTAACAGAGCCAAAGACATGTAAGAAGTGTAAACAGAACCCAAACATAACTATTTATTGAGTGCCAACTATGTATGTGCTATGCTCAGGTATTCAACTCAAACCTTCAGTTGTGTTTTTTTGAAGTACTGTTGATGGGAATACATCAAGAATCATTTCTTTAATTACTTACTCCTGCTTGGAGTAAGTTTCTCCTACCCAGCTTGAGGAGGCAAAGCTGTTCACTAGACGTCACCTTGGTCATGCTTTTCAGATTTGCTCCAGGTGACACCCCTTCTCCAATGCCTGTATCTGTTATTACTGGCCCACTGCCTTTATGGGACAATAGTATACTGCAGGAGTGTCTAGTTCATTTCTGTAATCTTAGAAGCTGACCCATGAGCTGCCATGATGCTTTCTGAATGATACAACCAACAGGACTCCAGATTCAGAACTGAGGCTTACTGAGCCATTCCCCTAACCAGGTACTTCATGAAGGTAGGTATATTCATGGAGTCTTCACAGCCTGGTGAGGTATACTGCATGTTTCACAGATGAAGCAACGGAGACCCAGAAGAGGTAAAGGGTCACAAAGCTAGGAGGAGACGAGCCTGGACTCCTAGAAACTGAGGCCGGGCAACTTGACATTCTTCCTCTTCAGCCTCTCACTCTATATAGGCAGTTCCAGATGCCACAAGTTAAATAAATGGCAGCAAAACTGGAAGGCAGGGAACAGGAGTTTGCAGTTAAGGATGGAAGGATTGTCACAAAGGGCTTATTAGGTCTTTGAAACAGAAAACTCCATCCTCAACCTTAAAAAGCTTAGTCCATGCCTCTCAGGGCACCAGGCAGCCCCTGCTTGGACTGTGCTCTGACTAAAGACTGTGGTGCTTTGGGAAACCTCCCAGCTCTCAGATACACTGATTTTAGCAGTAGAAAGATATTTGGGTGGGCAACCTGCCTCTATGTCAGACAAAAAGGCCACAATCTCCAAAGTCCAGAAGTCTTCACTATTCCTTCACTGAGGGGGGGTGAGGAAGTGTTTGTGGGGGGGGGGCAGGGGAATTTTTTGAGGGAAGGAATTGAGGACTAGGAAAGGGCCAGATGACAAATCTTGGGCCTTTGCCCATGCCTAGAAATACCATAAAACATCCTGCACTCAGTCTGTTTCTTTGCTTTCACCTCATTCCCCACCATCCTAGAGTGAACAGTAAAGACCGTTATTAAGTGGTGAGAGTGTACTGACTGGGATCCTACACCCAGATCTTATGTAACAACCACAAATTCAAATTCCTTGGTCCTTTCTCTAGAACAAAGCCTTCTTGTATGATCCCCTGTGGTTCACCTTCATCCTCTTGCTACTGTACTCCTCAACAGGAGTAAGGTATCTTTGGCCTGTGTGGATATGCTGGTGTTGTCCACAAAATACTACCGGCAACCAGGAAACTTGCAGGGCTTTTTGCCCATGTGTGAACATTAATGGAGCTGTGGTATAAGATTTTGCCACATTCGGTCATTTGCTCAAGTGGATGCGCTGGTGTTCAATGAACATGGTGTTCTCAGCAAAGCCACGTCCACATTCAAGACACCTGAAAGGTGGTTCTCCATTGTGCGTGCGCTGGTGCCTGAGGCAGTTTGAGCTGTTGGTGAAGTTCTTACCACACTCACAGCAATTGTAGGGCTTCTCACCTGTGTGTGAACGCTGGTGTTCCAGCAGATAGGAACTGCGCCCAAAGCTGTCTCCACACCAGGCGCAGAAGTAGGGTTTCTCACCTGTGTGACAGCGCTGGTGCTGTAAAAGATTAGAGCTCAGGCTGAAACTCTTGCCACAGAGTCCGCAGCGGTAGGGTTTCTCGCCGGTGTGAGTACGCTGGTGCTGGATCAGGTTGGAGCTGACCCTGAAAGTCTTACCACACTCGGCACAAGCATAGGGCTTCTCCCCAGTGTGCACCCGCACGTGTTTTGCTAGGTCTGCGCTGCGGCCGAAAGCCTCTCCGCACTCCAAACACTTATGAGGTCTGAAACCTGAGTGAGAACGCCGGTGTTTGGTGAGATTAGAGCTGAGGCTGAAGCGACGGCCACATTCTGGGCAGGGGTAAGGCTTCTCACCGCTGTGCACCCTGTAGTGCTTAACCAGATCTGAGCCACGCCGGAAGCTTTTGTCACACTCTGGACAGCTGTAAGGCCGGTCACACCCATGGCTGCTTTGATGGTGAATGAGGTCAGAGAGGCTGGCTACAGCCAGCCCACAATTCCGACACCTGAAAGCTTTGTGAACTGCAGGGTCATTGGTCTTGGCAAAGGTTTCTTCCCCAGGGCCGCAGCCTGACCTACATAGGTACTGCTGGCCCAGCAACTTTTCCCCGGCGGCTGGTTGCTCCGGCAGCGCCGGGAGAGGGCGCTCATGCCACTCAGCCTCGCGACCGAGGGGCGACTTGAGGGCTCCCGGGAATTTCGATGTCCGGTTCCCCAGCAGCTTCGCCCCATCTGGATTCTCCCTAGCAGCTTCTGGCGCCGCAAGTTCCATTGCGGGCGAAGAGCGCTCGCCATCCGCTTAGCTCGTCAGCATTGGGGGTTTGGAGGCCACCACCGGAAACGGAAAGGTTTACAAGCCCGAGCTGCTCTAGGAAGCAGCAGCGAACTTTCTCGGTAGGTTTAACTCTCTCATTCGCTTAACGAGAGCTTGGCGTTCTATTGAGCTGATCATTCTGACTTCGGGACCCTAGACCACCACGCTTGGGGGATGTCAATAAAACCTGAATGAGGAAAGGCGGTCGCTGACAAGGACGTACCCGGAGCGAAGTAGCTAAGTCGCGTTGAGCAGCACGGACTCCATAGCGGGCCGTCTGGTTCTAGAAGCCACATCTCACTCTTAAGCCCTGGGAGGAGTCAAACTCGGGCCGACTACATATCCCAGCATGCACCGCACGGGGGCGTCTCTTACTTTCGGACAGATAAAAACCCTGCTCGCCATGTCTTCTGCCACAGTGCTAGCACCCACGTCCTAGACTCTAGAACTTCTAATTCCGACTCGCAGGATAACTGCGGCGGCGCTATTCAGAGGAGCAGCCTGGCCACGCCCCTCTCCCCCAGTTCCGCTCTCTCAGAGAACCGGCGAGACGCGGGGCGGAGCCTTAGCCCCGGGCCAAGATGGCGGCTGCGAGACCGGCCCTTACGGACTCTCTCTCGTTTTGCCTGGCGCAGCTCACGGCGGCGGCCGGGGAGGGGCCGGGTTGGGGAAAGGACCCAGCTACCAACGAGACACCCCTGGGCCGCGCGCTCTTAGCTCTTCGCACGCGCCACATCAAGGCAGCAGAGGGAATTGAGCGCTTCCGGGCACGCGGCGGGCTCCGCCCCCTTCTCGCCCTGCTACGCCGAACGGCTGCTGCGGGCTCCGCCCCGTCCCAAGCAGGCTCTGGCTCCGCCCCCTCATCCATTGCGTCAGCTGGTTCTTCCCCTGGCCCCGCCCCCGCTGCTGAGTCGCCTTTGACGCCTTCGTTGCCAGTGCGCCTGCGCAAGACGCTGGATTTGGCGCTCAGCATTCTAGCCAACTGCTGTACAGAAGAGGCGTGCCGAGCAGAAGTGCGTAGACTTGGAGGCATTCTCCCTCTGGGTAAGTGCTCCGCCCCCATTTCTTGGAAAGGTTCCACCCATAGGACCTGTGCTATCCATAGTTCTTTATGTCAGGTCTCTGAGTACGAACTTTGTGATGGTGCCGCGCCACTCACCTCAGGTGTCATGCTGTGTGACGTCACTGCTCTCTATGCCTTATACCTGGACCCGCCCAGACCGGGACTAGGTATTAGCTCCTGCCTCACTTTTGAGCGGACGGTTTGTACTTTTTTTTTTTTTTTTTTTGGTTTTTTCGAGACAGGGTTTCTCTGTGTTGTTTTGGAGCCTGTCCTGGAACTCACTCGGTAGACCAGGCTTGGTCTCGAACTCACAGAGATCCACCTGCCTCTGCCTCCTGAGTACTAGGATTAAAGGCGTGCGCCACCACTTTCTAATTTTGGTGTTTATAGCAGACAGTGTTTACTGCTGTACCCATGCAAGGTTTCACGTGGATGAGCTGGAGGTCAGAAAGTGTAGTTTTAAAAGTTCAGCGAATGGACTTAGAAAGTAGTGCTGTCAGACATACCAGGCAAATCACCCAGCCCCTCCATATCTAGAATTCAAAATTGAAGTGGGCATAAAATGACATTCAAATATAGAATGCCCAGACTCCAAGCTCAGGCTGGGCTCTTTTTCTTTTTTTTTTTTTTTTTTGGTTTTACGAGGCAGGCTGTCGGTCTAGCCCGACCTCGAACTCACAGAGATCCGCCTGCCTCTGCCTCCCAAGTGCTGGGATTAAAGGTGTGCACCACCAACGCCCAGCTCAGGCTGTGTTCTTAAAAACACACAGTAACCAGTAAATTCCAGCAATGGATAAGCCTTTCCGTGTATTGGCTCATTTGGCGCCTCCTAATGGTAATGATGGGAACAAAGTTGTGACGTTGCTTTTCCTTTGATAGTATGCCAGTTTTGACAAAAAACTTAATTTTTTCTTTTTGGCTGGGGGGAGAGGGGGGAGGTTTTTGAGACAAGGTTTCTCTGTATTGCTTTGAAGCCTGTCCTGGACCAGGCTGGCCTCAAACTCACAGAGATCTGTCTGCCTCTGCCTCCCAAGTGCTGGATTAAAGGCGTGCACCACCAGCTAAAAATCTTAATTTTTAAAGTAAAACATTTATATATTTAAAACTTGCTTAGGATGCACTAGTACAGTAGTGTTTGACAAGAGGCTTGACAATAGCTCCCATAAATACCTAGTTCTCTCTAACCTTGCTTCCACATTTCTGTACTGGGCAGGATTACCTTTTGTTTGGCAGAAATGAAAGCTGACTTGGTTCAAGCCAAGTTACCTGCACTACTGTGACAACGTCAAGCATTCTTCCTGCCCTATTCCTTGTAATACCCCGTCACTGCAGTTGCAGGAGTGTAGAGGTCACTGCCTTTCTTAGAACCCTTTTGTGGCTGCTGTTGCCTTCACATTTAAACTTCACATTTAAACTTTGACTCCTCTAGACAGTTTTGACACTATTACCTTGAGGCATTTGGGAAAGCTGCTTCCAAATCTGAGACACTCTAGCCTTTCCATTTACCATCCTTCTGGCAGATATCTATTCAGTCCTCCAGCTCTTGCTCACTATTTAGCTTCTTCTTCTTCTTCTTCTTTTTTTTTTTTTTTGGTTTTTTGAGACAGGGTTTCTCTGTGACTTTAGAGGCTGTCCTGGAACTCACTCTGTAGACCAGGCTGGCCTTGAACTCACAGAGATCCACCTGCCTCTGCCTCCCTTGTTCTGGGATTAAAGGTGTCCGCCACCACCGCTTGGCTTGTTTAGCATTTTTTAAAGATGTTTCCCTAACATCCTCAAATCACATTTGTTTTTTTCCTTCTCTCTCTCCCTTAGAGTTTTCTCGTCCTGACCACCTGGTCCCAAATAAACACACAAAAGCTTACATTAATTACAAATGCTGGCCAATAGTTGAGGTTTATTATTAATTAGCTTTTATATTTAAACTAACCCATTTTTATAAATCTATGTGTTGCCACGTGGCTTGTGGCTTTACGGGCCCTCTAGCATCTTGCTTCCCCTAAGACTGGCTTGGGTGACTCCTGACTCTGCCCCTCTTCCCTTCCTAGTTTGGTTTTCCTCCTGACTTTACCGTGCCTCTATTAAACCAATCAGAGCATAATTTACGTGTATAGGAATATTCCATAGCACTCCTCTCCTCCCTCTCTGTTTGGGTTGTTGGGGACTGACTCAGGTCTTGATACAAGCTAGACGAGCACTCTACCACTGGCCTTCATCCCTAGACATTCTTGACTTGATTAACTAGTAACAAATAAGGGGTAGAGCCTTCAAGACGACAAACTGTCCTTGCAGTGACCATCCTTCAGTGTGTGAAGACAGACAGCATCCAGAACCGAACGGCTCGTGCACTGGGGAACTTAGCCATGGAACCCGAGAGCTGCAGGGACATCCACTCTGCTGGTGAGAAGGCTGTGAGAGTGGGGTTAGCTGGGACTTGGAGGACTTCCATGCTTACCCTTCCGCATCATCTGACTTCCTCTCTCTTCTCCAGGTGCTGTTCCCTTTCTTGTTGAGAGCCTGACGGCCTACCAGGACTCACAATGTTTACAGAGCATAGTCCGTGCCCTCCGCAACTTGGCAGACTCACCCCAGCACCGCCTAGCCCTGGCACAACAGGGAGCAGTTCGGCCACTGGCTGAGCTCCTGGCTACTGCCCCAGACCCTGCATTGACCTCAGCCCTAGTTCGAGCTCTCTTGGAACTCAGCCGAGGCTGTTCCCGGGCCTGTGCTGAGCAGCTGAGTCTGGGTGGAGGACTGGGCCCACTTGTCAGCCTGGCTTCTCACCCTAAACGGTCCATACGTGAGGCAGCCATCCTGATTCTTGCCAATCTATGTGCTCAGGGCCTGGTGCGGCCTGCACTGGGCAACGCTGGTGGCGTGGAGGTGTTACTAGGTGAGCTTAGGCGACGGCGGGGTCCCAACGGGACCAGCTCAGCTTCCCAGCAGCCCCTAGTGCGGGCTGTGTGTCTCTTGTGCCGGGAAGCCATCAACCGGGCCCGGCTTCGGGACGCTGGTGGTTTGGAGCTGCTGATGGGCCTCTTGCAGGACCCTGGTGCCCGTGCCTGGCATCCACGTGTTGTGGCTGCTCTTGTAGGCTTCCTTTATGATACTGGGGCCTTGGGCAAGTTACAGGCTCTGGGCCTTGTGCCTCTTCTGGCCAGGCAGCTGTGTGGTGAAGCTGGCGAAGAGGAAGATGAAGGAATAGAAGCTGCTTCCTGGGACTTCCCTGAGGAACGGACCCCTGAGCAGACAGAGGTGGGAAGCTTCCGAAGCCTTAGGTGAGTCCTCTTACCAGGGCCTGAGGGATAGGTGGTGCTTTGGGGAGGGAGTTTGTGTCTGCTATGGTCATCTTCCTTACCTCTGCCTCTTTTCTGTCTGAAGAGATTTACCAAGGTGTATTCCTTATTCATTGCTCTTCCCTACTAGGGCATGCCTCTGCCATCTGACCCTGGCTCCACCCCACCACCCAGAACTCTGGGCCCTACTCAAGTTGATTAGGGGTGGCATGTGACCTGGTGACTAGTGGTGTGCTATGGAGCCTGATTTTTATTTATTTGTATTTTTCTGAGATGGCATTTTACTTTGGAGGCCAGGTTTCCTGACTCTCATTGGGTATCTCAGACTGTCCTTGAACTTGCAGCAATCCTCTTGCCTCTTCTTATTCTGTTGCCATCACCAAAATGTTTGGGAAACTGAGTTTTCTGAGCCACTGATTTCTTGCGTGTGCAATGGAGCGTAATAGCATACATACTCACAGAGTTGCTGCAAAGACTACCCCTTACCTCACTCTAAGTGATGGTCAGTAATGGCAGTCTTGTGAACTCACTACATCTCTACCCTCGCTCCCTGAAGGCCTCCTCTGTAGTTCCTAAATGTGATGAGGAAGTACCGTCTGAGAGTCTCTGTCTAGAGCACGCTTCCTCCTGTGTGCCTTCATTGCTCACCCCCTTCAAGTCTTTGTTCGGTTCTACCATCTTTGCAAGGGGTCCTGATCACCATCTTATATAGTATTTCACCTCTCCTCTGGGCTTCAGTGTCCCTTCCCCCTTCTGATACCATATCTTGCTACACTGACGTCACACAATACACAAAACAACAAAGGGTTGTTTTGTTTTGTTTGGACAAGGGGTCTCACTCTGTAGCCTAGGCTGATCTTAAACTTCTCCTCCTCCTGCATCAGTGCCTGAGTGCCAGGATCACAGGCATAAAACACTGCGTACCTGGTCCTACATGCTGTTTCTCCTCAGGGTTTTGTTCATTGCTTTTCTTGAGCACCTGAGGCTGGACGGGCACATGGTAAACACTAGTAATTGAGAGTGAGGTGGCCCACCTCAGCCTTGTCTTCCCCACTTACACACCTTCACAGAACTGCCCCCTTCCTCCCTTCCTCTCCCCTGCCTTCCTCCCTTTCTCTTTCTTCCCTCTCCTTCCCATCTGTCTGCTTTTTTCCTTTTTGAGGCAGTGTGGCAGCAAGCTGTCCTGGAAGTCACGGTCGCAGGCTTGCCTTGCATTTGTGGCACAGAACCATCTTTTTTGATTCTGCTTCCTCCCCTTGGCTGTGGGTTCAGACTCCTTTTCTTCTTATCCTCTGTAGGTTGTGGCTGATTTCCGAGGGTTATGCAGCAGGCCCTGGAGATATCTCCCCAGATTGGTCTCCTGAGCGTTGTCCGATGCCAGAGCTGTCTGAGTCAGTGAATCCTACCCCTGGCCAGAACTCAACGTCAACACCCCGCACGCGTCGCAAACTGGGCCGTATCCCTGCTGTCACTACTGAGGAGCCTTGGGGCCAAGAGGGGCCAGCACTGTTGCTGTTGTCACGCTTCTCCCAGGCTCCTGACCCAAGTGGAGCTCTGGTGACTGGTCCAGCACTGTGTGGCCTGTTGGCCTATGTGACAGGTGCACCAGGACCGCTGAACCCACGTGCACTGCGTATCTTGGCGCGTCTCACCTGTAACCCTGCATGCCTCGAGGCCTTTGTGCGGAGCTATGGTGCAGCACTACTGCGGGCCTGGCTGATACTCGGCGTCTCACCAGAAGACTGGCCTGTGCCACGGACCCGGCCTGTCCACGGGAGCCAGCACCGAGAGCTGGGTATGTTTCCCCTACCCCTACCCACATGAAAGGCCTGTTTCCTCTCACACCCTTTGTGGTCCTACTCACTTGCCCTCATTGTTCTCTCCAGCCCACCATCCAAGCTTCTCAGCCCTCAGCATGGGGTGGGGGGCGGTGACTGGAAGGCAGGGGACTGTCCCTTCTGTTCCATAGCCCTGGAATACAGAGAGTTTGTTCTGTTCTTTGCCCAAATCTTGGGGCCCAAATAACCTGGTACCAGGTTTGGCTCCTGGTACCGTAGAATCTGACCTTTCTGTAATCCTTTACCCACTCTGCTCTTGGGTCTGCACTGTCCTGTTTCTACCCTGGGCACACTCACTCACACACTCAGACTGACACACCGTGTCCTCTCAGGCTCTACTCCGTTTTCATCTTAGGACTCCCCTGTCTTCTGGCCTGACTGTAGGCTGTTTCACTCCTTAAGGGCCCAGATCTGCACCCTGACCAGCCATTTGCCTGTCCTTGACCAGTTCTCTTTGCACTCTGTTGACTTCTTGCCCTGAGATCTTACTCTCCTCCCTTTCACAGGCCCAGAGTCCTGTCTTGCCCACAGCACCCCAACCTGGCCCTTGTGTCATCTCTGCAGGTGAGATGCTACTACAGAACCTGACTGTTCAGGCTGAGTCCCCCTTTGGAGTGGGCGCCCTAACCCACCTGCTGCTCTCTGGCAGTCCCGAGGACCGTGTAGCCTGTGCGCTGACCCTACCCTTCATCTGCCGGTAAGCGGGAAGCTGATGTCTTGCGGGGATTGTGAATAAGATTTTGACTCTTCTGTCCTGCCCTGAGACCCCTGCTGAAAGATGCCCTTTACTCCACAGGAAGCCTACTCTGTGGCGCCGCTTACTTCTGGACCAGGGTGGCCTCCGCCACCTCCTCGCAGCACTGACGCAGCCCGTTCCACACCCACTCTTCCTCTTCTTTGCAGCAGATTCCCTTTCCTGTCTCCAAGGCCTGGTGTCGCCCACCTTGAGCCCAGTCCTTTTCCCCGCCATGCCTTCGGAACCTGACTCAACCTCCCCTTGCCTCTATGAATCTCTCCTGGGCCCAGCCCCTGTTCCAGCCCCTGACCTGCACTTCGTTCTGGATTCAGGCCTACAGCTCCCTGCTCAGCGGGCTGTTTCAGCTACTGCCTCCCCCTTCTTCCAGGCCCTGCTATCTGGAAGCTTTGCTGAGGCACAGATGGATTTGGTACCACTTCGAGACCTGTCCCCTAGTGCAGCATGGCCAGTCCTGCATCATTTGCATGGCTGTCGGGGATGTGGGGCTGCTCTGGGGCCAATACCCCCACCTGGCCAGCCCCTGCTGGGCTCCAAGGCTGAGGAAGCTCTAGAGGCTGCTGGACGTTTCTTGCTGCCTGAACTAGAGGAGGAACTAGAAGAGGCTGTTGGCCGCATCCACTTGGGTCCCCAAGGTGACCCTGAGTCAGTGGGTGAGGTGTTCCGCTTAGGTCGGCCCCGGCTGGCTGCCCACTGTGTACGATGGACACTGGGGCCTGGGCAGTGCCCTAGAAAAAGGGCCTTGGCCCTTACAGGGCTCGTGAAAGCATCAGGTGAGGAGGCAGGGCCTCTCACCGAAGCTTTGATGGCGGTGGTAACGGGGATTGGGCCATAGCACAGGTACTCCAGGCTAAACTGTTTGCATCCCTGGAAGCGCACCCAGCCATGAGTTGGCTGGACGGGAGGCTTCTCTCAGCATGGCATGAGGGAAGACTGCAGAAGGAGCTATCCTCAGGGACTGAAGAGAAAGTGGAACCAAATCCAGGCTGAAGATCTGAAGATCTGCGACTAAAAAGTCAACACCAGAATCTGTGCTTGGAGCGGGGACAGCTCAGGGCCCCGGGTCTGGTCTGACCTGACCCTGGGGCATTGAAATTAAAAATGAGATTTGGACACTACTGTTGTATGGTGCCTCTGCTTGCTTTCCTCTGGGGACACTCCACCCATTCTCCGCCAAGAGGCCCGTGCTGTAGCATGGGTGTCCTTAGACTTCAGAGTTCAATAAAGAATAAAGGGGTTACTGTAGGCCTGGGACATGGTGGGTTTTCTATGGGGGTGACGTTTTGGACCCTGGGGTGGGGGAGCTGCTTTCTGTTTATGGGTCCTCATTGCTTAGACACAGCCATCCACCTAAATACAGAACCTGGCCAGCCTGCAAGGTTTGGGCTGAGGGCAACTAGTGTGTTGGCATGTCCTGAATCTTCTGCCTGCTGACTGTCCTTTACCTGTCAGTCTCTGTGTCCATTCCCATCTCCTGAGTCAAATTTCTTTTTTAAAGATACTAGTTCATGTGGGGGCATGTGCTTGTCATGGCTCCTATGTGGAAGTCAGAGGACAGCGTGAGGGAGTCACCTCTCTGTTTCCATCATATGGATCCCAGACTCAGGTCATTTGGCTCGGCAGAAAGTGCCTTTACCTGCTGAGTCATCTTATTGGTCTAAGCCAAGTTTAAAATGTTATCCGCCTAAGGGGAGGCCGGCTGCATTCTTCGGGCTTCTCAACCCCGTCTTAGTCACATTCAGGGAAAGCTGCATTGCTGGGGCTCAGATGAAGGAAGGGTCTCCATCACCAGGCTCCATCACTGGACTCAGCCTGCCAGGGTCTGGGCACTTCAGAAGGGTGAGTTAAGGTGGGGCTTTTGCCGCCCTTGAGCCCCTTGAGGTTCAGAGTGTGCATTTAAGGTGTGGTGACGCACGCCTTTAATTCCAGCACTCAGGAGGCAGAGGCGGGTGGATCTCTGAGTTCTAGGCCAGCCAGAGTTGTATAGTGAGACCCTATCTTTGTAAAAGGTACTTATACCTGGTCTCTTTCCAATTGATTTAGGCCAGCATGGAGGGCTACGCTGGGCTTCAGTGTTTTAACCAAACTTTCTGGTTCCTGGGTTGAGGCCCCATAGTCCAATGTTCAGATCTGTCCTCCAGGATGTCTGTAAGACAGCAGCCATCTGTCCACACCCATCTCCAGGTGTTTCCAACTTGGTTTTTTAGGGAGTCAGTCCAGGGACAGGTTCTTATCCCTCTGTGGCTGCTGTGTCTATGCTGCTTGCCTCCTCCTTTCATCAGTCTCTGAGGAAAGCGCTGTTTGGGAACAGACTGGTCACCTCAGCGTTAGGGAGGTGTTTTTTACAAATTGTCCGGGGTTTGGCATCCTGGGAGTTTACACGGGGGTGGGGGGGCTTAGGTCTGGTTTCTGCCCTCCCTGTTCTGTGTATCTATTTCCAGGTATGTTTTGCAGGGAAAGCCCTGATTTCAGATTGGTGCTCTTCGTGTGAGACATTTCTTAGTGAGACATTTCTTGCTGTTCGATCTCTATTTGGCTGCCTGTCAGACTTGGAGTCACTCCTGTCTCTAACCAAATTCTGCAAGGAACACTCTTTTTAAAAGATACCCTGGTGGGGAATGGAGCTCTGCCTAGAAATCAGGTGCTGACTTTGGGAGGAGCAGGCTTGGGGGGCTTCAGTTTACGGGGGCTCCGTAGGAGGGAGCTAGGAAGAACCACTTCTGACTTGGCTTCAGCTTCTGGGACTTGCTGCCTCCGAGGCAAAAACTGGGGTGTGGCCTCCTCTGAGGGAGCCAGAAGGCTGGGTTGGTTGGGTGGGCCCTGGTGCTGTCTTTCTTCATGTCCCCATGCTCCCCCTTCATCGCTCCCCCCTCGACCGTATCCCAGCGGGTCCTGGCTTCCATACATGGTCACGGCCCTGCTTCTAACTCCCTGACGTTCCCCCACCCCGTCCCCCGCCCACACCGGACACGGCCCCCGCCCTGCTCGCCCCAAGCTGTCTGCCAGCGCACCGCCATGGAGGACCTGGGTGAGTGGGGACCGGATCCCCTTAGCCTCTCCCCCTGCCTGCATCTAACCCACTCACACTCCCACATTTCTCCCATTCCAGTTTTCTCCCTCCATTTTCTCGCCTCTGCCTGCCTGTGCCTCCCTCCCAAATCCACGTACCCGTTCCTGCCTCTCCCTTCCTGCCTGCTTGCGATGCCGCACCCTCCTCCGTTCTTCCCGGGCTCTGCTCCCTCAACCCGGGTTTGTGTAATGGATTAGGCGTTGAGACACCCGCGGGGGCCTGGATTCAGAGACTCTGGGAAGGAAGGGGTTAAGGGATCCTTGGGTCCCGAGACTGGGAACATAGACTGGAGCGGAGAGTGTGACATCAAGTTTCGGAGATGAAAAGGGACCAGATAGCCTGCGCCAGGGCTTCAAGAAGAGAGGGGTAAGCGCTCTCAAGTATAGCAGAGGTCAGGTAAGTCCTCAGGGCAAGAAAGAGAGTAGCAGACAGAGAGTGCCAGGGTGACAGAAAGAAGTTTAAGGCGTCTACCTAGATGCTCAGAGAAGAGTGAAGGGACGGCGAGTTCACAGATTCAAAGCGCCCCAGGCGTTCATCCTCCCTATTTGCGAAGTGTGTGCTCCGCATGGCAGGATTTCTGAACCCAACAGCAGAGGGCGCTCCTCAATAATAGTACAAGGATAAGAAGTATCCCGAAAAGGCCGCTCCCTGCCAGCACTACTTGCCCCTGAGAACTGGGTGAGACTTCATTGTGACCAAGAAGTGTGCCAGGTTGGCCAGGCTGTTTAAGTATGGGGAAGAATTAGTGTGTACAGAGAAGACTTAACCAGGAAGTTGGGTGTCAAGCATACAGCCAATGGAACAACTGGGGTTCAGCGAGAGCTAATCTTGGCTGCATCAGGAAGGATGGAGAGAATAAAAGAGTCAAGTGACTGGGTGTGTACTTGGCTCCCGGGATAAGTCAAGGGAGATGTCTAGTCATAAAGACTCCCTGCTACCATTCTCCTTCTTTGCCTTGGTCTGGCCCTGTGTTTGTTTCTTAGCCTCTGCCTTTAACACTGGCGTCTATCTTTTCAAATACTGCCACTTGGAACCCTTTGTCCTCTAACCCTTAAGACCTTGACCCCCGACCTCTCACCCGAGGGCCTCTCACTGCAGATGCCCTGCTCTCTGACCTGGAGACCACCACTTCACACATGTCACGGTTAGGGGCTCCAAAAGAGCGCCCACCAGAGACACTCACACCTCCCCCACCCTATGGCCACCAGCCACAGGTGAGATGAAAGTCTGGGGGTCTGGGGCAACCACTAGGAGGGCCTGGGTTGGTCTGGGCTAGGGGAAATCAGAGTCTGAGTCAGGCAGGGAACATGACTGTCCGTCCACACACACCTCTACTCTGCAGACAGGGTCTGGAGAGCCTTCAGGAGCCTCTGGGGAGAAGGATCATCTGTACAGGTGAGAGGCCCGGGGACTGGGGCATGAAGAGGGAGAACCCAGTTGAAGTTCAGGTGAGGGCACTTGGATTCCCCACCCTAAACCCAGATTCCCTCCTGTCCCTTAGCACAGTATGCAAGCCTCGGTCCCCAAAGCCTGTGGCCCCTGTGGCTCCACCATTCTCCTCTTCCAGTGGTGTCTTGGGCAATGGGCTCTGTGAGCTAGATCGTTTGCTTCAGGAACTTAATGCCACCCAGTTCAACATCACAGGTACCAGCAATCTTTGATGGGCTGGGGGCAGAGCAAAGCAGGGCAGAGTCTAAGGGACACTGACTTCTCCAAGGAGCAGTTAAAGGACATAAAGACTTCACTGGGAGGGTGAACTGAGTGTGCCCCTAACCTAGTGTTATTTTCTCATCTCTCCAGATGAGATCATGTCTCAGTTCCCATCTAGTAAGATGGCTGAAGGGGAAGAGAAGGAGGACCAAACTGAAGACAAGAGCACACCCACTGTGTGAGTTTGGTGTAGTTGACAAGGCTAGGAAGGAGGTGATGGGTCCTGGGTGTCTGAGTTACTAGAGGGGTGTGTCATGCTGGCAGGCCCTAAGGTTACACAACTGTGTTCTCCACAGTCCCCCCAGCCCATTCCCTGTCTCCCCCAAGCCTTCAGCCACCTCAGCCACTCTGGAGTTGGATAGACTGATGGCATCACTCTCCGACTTCCGGGTCCAGAACCACGTGAGTCTGGAAGGATTTTGATTGGTGTTGCTCTGTGGTTCACCAATCCAGTTTTGACATTTCCAGTTTGGGGCCTTGTTGACTCAATGTCCGTGTACTCTTCACTGCAGCTCCCAGCCTCAGGGCCATCTCAGCCCCCAGTGGTGAGCTCCACCCAAGAGAGGTGCCCTTCTCCACCAGGACAGACTAGCAAGGGCAGTCTGGACACCATGCTGGGCCTGCTGCAATCCGACCTCAGCCGCCGTGGTGTTCCCACTCAGGCCAAAGGCCTCTGTGGCTCCTGCAATAAACCTATAGCCGGCCAAGTAAGTGCAGCCGAGAAGGGAGGCATGTGCTCACATAGCCACTTTGAGAACCAGACTCTGCTTTTCCTTTCATAAGTAGTTTGTTCTTTGAGAATGTAATGTGCGTATACAGCATATGCTGGTTCCGAATAACCCGTCTTAATTCCTTCCAGTGCCCCCAACTTCATTCATCTTTTTAAAGTCACCCAGTACAGTTAGTGCTTCCGATATGCGCATGGGCGCAGGGCCATCCTCTGGGGCATTGGTATCTCCTAGGGGCCACATTCCTGGAGAAAACAGAAGCCTCCTCTCCCAGGAGGCTATGACTGCCAGTAGATCCCCTGCTAGAGGCTGGGCTAAGTGAGCCCCTCCCTCATCCTTGATGGAATTCTAACTAGCTTGGTGCTCGGGAGGTCTTGTGAAAGATCCACAGCTGCTGTGAGTTCCTGTCATGTGGCGAACGCACTGATTCACAGCAGTCTCCCCAACTTCTGGCTCTTACTGTCTTCCCCTCCCCTCTTCTGTGATGGTCTCTGAGCCATGTGGGGAGAGGGTGTGCTATAGATGTTCCATTTGGGACAGTGTGCCGTCCCCGTCCCCTTTCAATGAATACCCGAGGGGTGCAAATTGTTTTTCTTGTGAAGTTGAGGCCCTTGTGTATACTAGGTAGACCCTCTGTCACTGCTCTGTATCAGAGCTCCTGGATTCTTTGTTTTTTGTTTTGTTTTGAGACAGTGTTTCATGTAGCTCATGCTGGCCTCCAATTCAGTATACAGTCAAGGATAAGGCCCCGTCTCTGACCCTCTAGTCTCTCCCTCCTGAGTCCTGGGTTGATAGGCATCCCTTCCTCTTCCCAGTTCATATGGGATTCTTGGGGATAGAACCCAGGACTTTGTGTATGCTAGGCAAGTTCTCTACCACCTGAGACACAGCCCCAGTCCAACCCTTAGAAGTTTGAGATAAGATCTTACTATGTAGCCCAGGCTGCCCTAAAACCCATGATCATCCCACTTTTACCTCCCAAGTTCTAGAATTTCCAGCATGTGCTACCTTGTCCACCTGGAGTAGACATTACTATTTATGCTTTATGTGGTTTTTAAAAAACAAAACACTATTTTGCTTTTTGAGGCAGTGTCTCACTGTAGCCTAGGCTGACCAGAAACACACTCTGTATCCCGGACTGGCCTTGAGCTCATGACAGTCCTCCTACCTCAGCCTCCCAAGTGCTGGAAGTATAAGGTGAGCCGCCATGCCCAGCTGTGCTTCATGTTTTCATAATTCAAAAAGTGCACCAGGGACTGAACACGGGGCCTTTACTAATGCTAACTACATCTTTTGCCATTGAACTAACCCTTAGCAGCATGCGTTTTTATGGATGAGAAAACTGAAACTCTTAGTGATAGGCCATAGGGTAAGAATTCTAACCTGGCTAGTATTTGATGTGGCCCTACTGTGTGCCAGACACGGTGCTAGTTCCTTTTCACACCACTATTTCATGTTATCTTCACAACAGCCTCCTGGATTTTGCCTAGTATCTCTTAAGCATAGCAAACACTGTCTTTTCCTCTCAGAGTTGGTCGAGGAGTCCTGGTTCTTGGATCATGGATTGTGCAGATATGATCCAGAATAGCTGTGCCCGATTGGCTTAAAGCATCTCCTTAGAGTAAGGAGATTCTCCCATAGCACAATCTTCATAGGTTGCTTCCTGGCCTGAAGATGATTCCTGGCATGGTGGTATATGCTTTAATTCTAGCACCCTGGAGGTTGAGAGGTAGGAGAATTGAACTACACAGTGAGTTTGAAGCCAGGGCAGCTTAGAAAGATTCTCTCTCAAAACAAACAAACAAACAAACAAACAAACAAACAAACAAAAAACCCCAAACCCAAGCACTCTACACAAAATCTAAAGTAACTAAACCTTTCTGTGGGCCATTGGAAGGGGTATGTGCCCAAATACACCATGCCCTCTGTGCTTTGTGAATATAGATCCCGGAGTAAAGCTGGAAGGCCAGCTTTGGACCTCTAACACACCTTGGACTTTGGGTTTTTCATCCTGATCCCTCGGGGTTAAGACTGGGAAAATGTCAGGTTTGTAAACCTTAGCTCAGCCAGCACCCGCCAGAGGCGAGCCACTCTGACGGAAACCGCCCATTCGACTTCGCAGGTGGTTACTGCGCTGGGCAAAGCCTGGCACCCTGAGCACTTCCTTTGCAGCGGTTGTTCCACAACCCTGGGAGGCAGCAGTTTCTTCGAGAAGGATGGGGCTCCCTTTTGCCCCGAGTGCTACTTCGAGCGCTTTTCCCCACGTTGTGGCTTCTGCAACCAACCCATCCGACATGTAAGCTCTACAGAGCCCCGCCCATTTGCCGGTTTCATTCAGAGAAACCTGCCAAAGGCAGAGCTGCCTCTCCTCCCTACCTCCACCCCATCCTGCCGTTCCTGTTTCTCCTCTTACCCCAAATTCCTTGTTAGTTCTTGCCCCTACAGACACAAACTTCATTCAGAATGCTGTCCCTACTCCCCCAGGTTCCCAAAGGGAGGCGGAGGGAAGAAGGGACAGGGGACAGTAGTGTCCCTTTTCGTTTTCTGCAGAAAATGGTTACTGCCTTGGGCACCCACTGGCACCCAGAACATTTCTGCTGCGTCAGCTGTGGGGAGCCCTTCGGAGAAGAGGGTGAGAGCTCACACTACAGGTTCACTGTTCTCCCCGCCTTCAGTTTTCTTCTATTTCGTCTGCCCTCCCCACCCCCATTTCCCCGTGGGGTCCTATCCTCTCTCCCCCTTTCCTTCTCTCCCTACTACCCAGACCCACTGCCCACACCCTCTGTCCCTGCCCCCAGGTTTCCACGAGCGGGAGGGCCGCCCCTACTGCCGGCGGGACTTCCTGCAGCTGTTCGCCCCGCGCTGCCAGGGCTGCCAAGGCCCCATTTTGGATAACTACATCTCGGCGCTCAGCGCGCTCTGGCATCCAGACTGCTTCGTCTGCAGGGTGCGTGGCTGTGAGGAACGGGCTAGAAGTCCAGAGTTAGTCCGGCTGGCTCTTTCTGGAAGCGCCTCTTCACCTCTGCTGCGAGGCTACAGGGGTCAGGGTAGATGTTAGTTATGCACGTGGGTTATCTGGTCAGGGTTTTGCTCATTTGGCTCATTTTGTCAATTCCTCCTTCTGAAGGAATGCCTCGCGCCCTTCTCCGGAGGCAGCTTTTTTGAGCACGAGGGTCGCCCGCTGTGTGAGAACCATTTCCACGCCCAGCGTGGTTCGCTGTGTGCCACGTGTGGCCTCCCGGTGACTGGCCGCTGCGTGTCTGCTCTGGGACGCCGCTTCCACCCGGATCACTTCACCTGCACATTCTGCCTGCGTCCACTCACAAAAGGCTCCTTCCAGGAGCGCGCCGGCAAGCCTTACTGCCAGCCTTGCTTCCTGAAGCTCTTCGGCTGACGCCCTGGTGGGATCACGCGGCTCCAAAACTAAATCTCCAAAGACCCATTTGTGAAGAAGCTTGAGTCCTCCAGATCCCTATCTACCCAGACATCCCTTGTCCCTACCCCCACTCCCATTCCCGTTGTAGCCCAGCCACTGGAGCGACCTACCCCTAAGGTACTCACTCAAGGTTTGTCAAGTTCGGAAAGGGACCCACGTGCCTAAAACATCCACTTGCTTGGAATGCAGATCTCACTCTGGCCTGATCCCGGTTCTTGTAAATCCAACCAATCAGAAGCCAGGATATCCCTATTTCCCCACCGCCCACTATTCTGTACACTCTTTTTTTTCTACAAACATAAAAACACACTCCATAACTCTCAGTGCCAGAGAACCTTGCTTTACTACCCAGACCCTTGGCCAGGCCCTGTGCTCTGCTGAGGGCTATAGGCCACAGCTCTGGGGAGGAGACGGCAGTACTGCTCTCCTGGGCTTTGTGGATGAATACAAATATCCAACAAAGGCAAGCTCAGAGAGGCATGCCTGTAGTCCCAACATGGAGACCAGGATAGGCAGGCTATCCTCGTTGCATAGCAAAATTTAAGTTGAGTTGAATTTTTGAGACTATCTCAAAACACCCCCTCCCCCAACTGGAAACCAAAATCCAAAATCCAAAGCAATGGCAGCAGAGTGAAGGGTGTGGTAGTTCATGCTAATCCTAGCATGAGGGAAGCAAGTTCAAAACCAGTCTAGTTGTCTATTGTGAGTTCCAGGCCCCAGCCTGGATCCTAGACTACAGTATAAAACCTAGTATCAAGGCAGGGTGAGGTGGGGTGGGGGTGGGGGGGGAAGACCCAGGTTCAATTCCTAGCACCCACAACTCCATGTGACTCCACTTCATGGATTCCAGCACCCTCTTCTGGCCTCCATAGGCACCAGGTACATACATGGTACGCAGCCATACATGTTGACAAAACACCCATACATACAAAACACAAATTTTTAAAAAGGGTTGGAGAAACAGCTTGGTGGTTAAGAGTTGCTATTGCATAATCAGAAGATGTGTTCGGTTCCTAGCACCCACATGGTGGCTCAAAACCATTTGTGACTCCAGATCTAAGGGGGGCTCCTTCATTCGTGTGCTGAGCACACATACATCCAGGTACACATTCACATATTAAAAACAATTTAAGAGTTCTAGGCTGCAGAGAACGCCCAGCTGTGAAATACTGGATGGACAGCCTGTGGTAGCACCAGCACAAGGGCAGAGTCTGGGACACCTTTCAACCTGCTCACTCCTTCTCCCTGCGCCTTCCCAGTTCCCCGTAGTACGGAGATAGGTGGTAGATTTGTGCTGTCTCTCTCTGCTCAGCTTGGTTCCCAGATTTTATTCCCCCAACTCCTTTGTTGCTGTGTGGTTTGGTGTTTAGAGACAGGTTTCTCTGTGTAGCCCTGGTTGTCACGGAACGCACTCTGTGGACCAGGCTAACCTTGAATTTAGAGATCCACCACCCCCAGCTTCACCCAACTCCTCCAAGGACTCTCCAATGTCACATCAAAGGCAAAAAGTTCCTTTTACTATTTTAGAGGACCACAAATCATGGAAAACTAGGCCCCTGACAACACCACAGAAGAGGACTCCAGGATGAACTAGTTTATAAAGCAGAGTTATTGTGTATTAAAAAGACATTTTTAACATAGGTCTTAACCATAGGGTCAAGAGAGAGGAAGAACTACCTCAAACCACATGTGTGTTCTCCTCAATGACAGACAAGTTGAGCCTAAGTGTCCTAGTGGTAAGCAAATACAGAATTTTAGCTGCTAATGAGTGTCCTAGTGGTGAGCAGATACAGAATTTTAGCTGCTAATGAGTGTCCAGGTTATCCTCTACTTCTCTGTTTCTACTCCTCTTTTTGAAAATTATGACTATGAATTTGGACAAAGTGTCAGGCTACAGAATTAAAAGATCTTTACCAGTTGCACATCCAATAGAAGGTTGGTATCTAAAATATAAAAAGAACTTAAAAATCCTTAATGTTAAGAAAACAAATAACCTGGTTTAAAATGGGTACAGAACTAAACAGAGTTCTCAAAAGAAGAAATACAAATGTCTGAGAAACATTTAAAGAAATGTCCAGCATCCTTAGTCATCAGGAAATGCAAATCGAAACTACTTTGAACAGTACTTGGGAGGCAGAGATAGGCCTGAGTCCTGGGATTAAAGGTGTGTACCACCACCACCTAGCTTCTATGGCTAACTAATGTGGATGGCTTTGCATTCTGATACTTCAGGCAATATTTATTAAATCATAAATAATATATCACCACACAGATCTCTGAGTTTGAGGTCAGCCTGATCTACAGATCAAGTTCCAGGACAGCCAGGGCTACACAGAGAAACCCTGTCTTGAAAAACAAAAATGAACAAACAAAAAACCAAACTACTTTGAGATTTCATCTTCAGTCAGAATACTTCAGTCAGAATGGCCAAGATCAGTAAAACAAATGACAGCTCATGCTGGTGAGGATGTGGGGTATGGGGACCACTTATCCATTGCTGATGGGAGTGTCAACTCATACGCCACTATGGAAATCAGTGTAGAGCTTCCTTGGGAATCTGGGAATAGGTCTGCTTCAAGATCCAGCTATACCACTCTCAAGCAAACAAAACAAAACAAAACAAAACAAAACAAAACAAAAACCAAAGGACTCTACATCCTACTACAGAGACACTTGCACAGCCATGCTCATTGCTGTTCTATTCATAATAGCCAGAAATTGGAAACAGCATTGATGCCTATCAAGAAATGAATGCATAAAGAAAATGCGATACACTTACACAATGGAATATTATTCAGTTGTTAAAAGCATAATCATGAAAATCACAGGTGAATGGATGGAGGAAGAAAAAATCATCCTGAGCAAGGTAACTCAGACCCCAAAAGACAAATATGGTATGTATTCTCTTTTTTGAAGGCGTTAGCTCCTAAGCCGTTGAGAGACATGCTCCAATTCATATAACCACAGAAGTTAGGTATAGAGTGACTAGGAGTGGAGGGGAAGATCTCCCAAGGAAAGGGAAACAGAATATGTGGTTATGGAGAGACAGGGGGTGAGGCACAGGAAGATTAAACGAAGAAGGGGAGGAAAGGGAGGTAAGAGAGGGAATGTGAGAAAGGGGGCAACTAACCCTCAGGGCCACTGGAGGGGCCATATGGAAACTTGCTACTACAGATGCTTCCTAAAATGCACACATTCTAAATGGAGTAACCAAATAATGGGGAAGACAATGCTTCAGATAGACATCTTATACCGCCAAGGGAAACTTCCAGTGCCAGGAACGGGTTACATCTAGTTGAGTCATCGGCCAAAGGAGTCCCCTGGAAACCTCCAAACATCTCAGGCTATTACCAAGGATACTGGTTGCTCTCCACAAACTGACAGTGAGGTCCTCCGTATTGCTGAAGGTTACACATATCTCATGGAGAAGTCAAGCCGGTGTCTAATAAGAACCTTCACCCCTACTCACTAGTGTTCATGGTCCTGGAAGGTACTCTGCATGCTACTGGAGGAGAAAGGTAAGCACCAACCCAGCCATAAGCCCTCAGTATATACTATGGTGACCTGCCTGCCTGGTTGCTGGTGCAGTGGAAGGAGTGACCAGCCACTAGTTAAGGCCCACTCCATGAGAGGGAGCCCATGCCTTGTGCCATTCAGGCAGCCAAGAAACTGAGACTAAGTAGGTCATAGACCTAGGGGAGAACAAAACACTGTGTTCTGCTAGAGACATAGCAATAAAATTCCTCCTAATGACTCTACCCAAAGATCAGTGTCTCTCTTGCCACGTCCACTGCGCAGCCTGTGTCCAAGAATGTGCGGTGGGTGTCGGGGATTGACAACACCTAAGGCTCCTCAAGAAGGCTCTCCTTTATTCCTACTCTGGCTGGTTATTATATACCCTGACACCAGAGGGGTGGTGGGTGGAAAAGGTCGAGGTCAGGGCGGTTCTGTGGGCAAGCCCTTTTCAGGAACTTATTGCCCCGGGCATTGTATTGTTTTTAGTAAACATGTTTTTAGTAAACATTGTCTTACAGCTGCCTACTCCCAGGCCAATGGGGAAGTGGGTCTCTGCTCAAGGTCTGGCGTCCCCACAATTCCCTCTTTTTTATTTTCTGAGGCACTCCTGGCTTAGGTCAAGTAGGGTCACCCTCCCTTGCCCGTCTTTGGGGGACCTTGAACCCCTGTCTTAGGTGGGAGGGGTCTTCCCCACAGGTTGCCCATCAACGGAAGAACCTCGTCTTTAAATCATCTGTAACCAACCTTCATGGCTATAGGGATTGCCATGGGCTAAGCTAAGCAATACTTGGTTACAGATCTCTTGCCTCTGGAACAAGGCACGTTTGAGCTCGGCATAAAGCCGGAATGCCTACCGCCACTGCCACCATTTCCAGGACCCCCATTGACATAGCGCCTCTCCATCACCGTACCCATCACCAGATCTGGGCCATAACATTCTACCAGCCTTCCTCTGTTACAAGGGTAACCCGCAAGTGATTTACATTTACAATTTGATGGTCAAAACAGTGATAAAGTTTACAATCGTTCTAAGATCTGCTCAGGGAAGCATTTAGAAAGTGCACTTGCACAGATACACTAGGCACAATCATTGATGTTACACATGTAGCATTATAAAAAATATGAACAAGAGGCTTGTTGCACTATCCACAGAGCACCAATTTGTTCCTGTGGTGATGCAGTTTGTTGATTTAACATCACTAGCCTCAGCTGAATATGCAACTTGAGTCAAAGTCTCCTTTTTGTCGCATTAGGAAAAGTTGCATTTCTCCAGATAAATACACTGGCATAAGCGTGATTCCAGAAACAGGAACCACCAAGTCTAATATTTCAAGTGACCATGTTCTGTTCAAATACTGAAAAGAGGCTTTTGCCACTCATCACAGTCCATACCAATGTCTAAATGTTTTAAATGGGTCCTTTTTCCCCCAAAGGGAAAAACTGGCAAAATGAATTCTGTTGTTTCAAGGTGTGTCAAGGGCAGACAGTTAGTCTTTCCAGTTCTCTGTTGGCTTCAGGATGAAAACTCACAGGTCCGGGAGGTTGATGCAGTAGGCCTGTTGAGAAACTGGAAATCTCGAACCGACTGTTTTCCTTCTTTCTCGGGCTGGAGATTCGATGCCATCAAGGGTCAGGAACACTGATTTAGGAGATCTCACTCAAACGGGCTTAGGTAGGCTCCCATGGTCTCAGGTCCAGTTTTTCTCTGCTCCATGCATCTCACTAAATGGTCTGACAGCTGTCGAAGCTTTATTCTTTTCCTGCAAGAAAATACAAACATGCCCTTGACCCCAAATTAGGG